GGTTGTAAGGGAGCTTACTGGAGGTCTATTTTCATTTACTTGATTGATTGAGACTAATCTTTAATCCTTTGTGTTTCTCTTTCCCTATCTTTACAATGTGCAATGATCTCTAATGGGAACAACAGGTATTTACTTTGGAGTGCCAAGAGGCATTAAGACTAACGAAAATGGCGAGGAAGTTGGGTTTAATACCGAGGTCTATGCTGCTCACGAGATCGATAGAATTGCTCGTGTTGCCTTCGATACTGCTCGGAAGCGACGTGGCAAGCTGTGTTCTGTCGACAAAGCTAATGTCTTGGAAGTAAGTATGGTTCCTCTCCTCCTATTTTCTTATGTAACACACAGCACTTAAATCTAATATGCAATTTTCTTTTTATGCAGGCCTCAATTTTATGGAGGAGACGAGTAACAGCATTAGCCGCTGAATATCCTGATGTTGAGCTGTCACATATGTATGTTGACAATGCTGCCATGCAGCTTGTTCGTGACCCCAAACAGGTACTTATTAAACTAGTCAGCGCCTTGCTGTGTGACTATTTAAAGTGGGTTGATTTTTTAAAATGCAGTTTGACACCATTGTCACAAACAACATTTTTGGTGATATATTATCCGATGAAGCTTCAATGATCACAGGAAGCATCGGCATGCTTCCCTCTGCTAGTCTCAGTGATTCGGTATGAAATGAAATAACCTGATCTTTAGCGTGCAGCAATATATACTATCACTTTTGAACAAAAAACCCGTGTTACTTATTACAGGGGCCTGGACTCTTTGAACCAATACATGGCTCTGCTCCTGATATTGCTGGACAGGTCCTAACTCTATAGTCTAATATTCTTCAGACAAACAAAGCTTTTCCTACTCCATTATCAAAACTACTTACTATGCCAAAAGTGTAAGAGCAAAACTTTTCTTTGAATTTTGCAGGATAAAGCAAACCCGTTGGCCACCATTCTCAGCGCTGCAATGCTTCTGAAATACGGTCTTGGAGAAGAAAAGGCAGCTAAGAGAATTGAAGATGCGGTTTTGGGTGCTCTGAACAAAGGATTCAGAACAGGAGACATCTACTCCGCAGGAACTGTAATTTTTTTGAACCATTCTTTTTATCACAATGTTCACTTCTTTTTCACTTCTCCTTTGATCAAAAAAAAAAAAAAAAACGTTATGTGTTTGAAAAGTTTACAAGCAGGCAAATGGTAAACAATACTTATGCTGTTCATCTTTTTGATACAGAAACTGGTGGGGTGCAAGGAGATGGGAGAGGAGGTTCTGAAGTCAGTAGACACCCAAGTTTTTGTATAACTATGCAGAGCCATGAAGATAATTTTTATTAGCAGGACGTATTTGATCATGTTATCTTTGTTAAGACAAGACAATGAAATAAATCGTGGTGGAGATTATGTAATTTTACAGCAACACTTGAGCTTATCAATATAAGCCATATCAAGAAAGGATAGTTTTACAAAGTCGATGAACAATTGTTGTTGTGCTCTAGCTCAACCTTTTCAACCAAGGGCAGTCAAATTGTGAGACATAATCTCAACCGCACGTCCTATTTCCTCCTCCGATATAATCAAAGGTGGTACAATCCTGACGACATTTCCTTTCCCAGCCGTCAAGATCAGAAGACCAGAATCACGGCAAGCATCCACCAGTGGACTCGCTGGCACATCAAGCTCCACTCCAATGATAAGCCCTTCACCCCTCACTTCCTTCACGTGTGAGTTCCCTCCTAATTTCTTCACCAACAGTTCCTTAAAGTATAAACCTTTGCTCGAGACACTTGACAAGAAAGATGGTTTGGATACTTTATCAAGAACAGCGATGGCTGCACTGCAGACAAGAGGGTTCCCTGCAAATGTGCTTCCATGATCTCCATATTTGATGGTCTCAGCAACTTTTTCAGTCACGAGCACCGCTCCAATTGGTAAACCACCTGCTAATGGCTTTGCAACCGTCATTATGTCAGGTGTTACACCGAATGCTTCATATGCCCAAAGGTTACCAGTTCGACCCAAACCACACTGAACCTGGAGAAGTAGAAGCGATCAAAAGGAGAAGAGGATAGAGAGCCAAAAACAATGTAATGTACCTCATCGAAGACGAGAAGAGTTCCAGCAGCATCACAAGCAGAGCGAAGAGACTGGAGAAACTCTTTTGTAGCAGAGTAAACTCCTCCTTCTCCTTGAATAGGCTCCACAAATACTGCAGCTATTTTACCCGTGCTGATAAGATCTGTGGCAGCTTGAATGTTACCGTATTCCAAGAATGTGACGCCAGGCATGATGGGTTCGAAAGGAGTTCTGTACTGTTCTTTGCTTGTCAAGGCAAGAGCTCCTAAGGTTCTTCCATGGAAACTGTTTGTAAATGCAATGAAGCCTGTGGCGACTTCCTTGTCTTGAGGATGGGTGAACCTCTGGAACTTTCTAGAAAACTTGATGGCTGCTTCGTTGGCTTCAGTTCCAGAGTTACAGAAGAATACACGGTCTGCGAAAGAACTTGCCACAAGACGTTTTGCTAGTTCAATCTGCAGACAAGTTACAAAAACATACAATAAATGAGCTTGACGGTATACACAGATGCCATAAAGATCTAGACACTAAACCCTAAACCAACGTGACTACTGAGTGATCTATCATTAAACAGACAATTAGTACCAATACATTTAAAAACGTCTTCCAGAACCAAAGATCAAAGCAAACCACATAGAGATGATCAAATCAGCTAAAGTTTGAAGCTTTCATCAAAAGAAGTGAAAAAAGTTTGAGCAAATTGCAAACACACTACATCCTTCAAGTAAGAACATTTCATAGACTCAGTAGTGAAATTAATACCTGAGGAATGGTGTAATAGACATTGCTGACGTGGGCAAGAACAGCAGCTTGATCAGTGACAGCTTGCAGCCAATCAGAATCTCCATGGCCCAGAGCATTCACAGCTATTCCAGATGCACAATCCAAATACTCTTTCCCTTGTGCGTCTATCAATTTACAACCTTTCCCACTCGTTAGCACCACTGGGGCACGCGCGTATGTACCCACGATAACTCTGGCCTCCTCTTCAATCACCCTCTGGCTCACACTCGCTTTCACCGAAACCTCCGCTTGTTCTCCCGCGTTAGTCAATACGCACGCGATCCGCCCGTTGAATCCGAATTGAGTTCTAATCGGTCGATCAAATCGACGGCGTAGGAGGCTCATTTCCGACGACGGCGCCAGCGGGAAGGTGATTTGGCCAAGAGAAGTCATTTGGTGTGGTTTTTCACTTTTGGTCGGAGAAGCAAACAGTAAAGAGGCGTTTTAAGACAGTGAAGCTGGAACAAAAGTGTACTTTCTTTTACCGAAAGTTAAATAAACCGTTCATTCAAAATCGCGGGACCAATTCGGTTAATAGATAACCGGACTGAGTCCTATCATTTTCTTTTGATCATTTCACTTGAACCGTACATCCTCTCTCTCTCTCCTCCGTCATCATCAACGTCCTCCGTCCGTCTGGGGACTTACACAACCCAAAAACCCTAAAGGAAAGCATTTCGAGCCGTCAAGATCAGCTCCAATGACGCTTCATCTCTCCAGACGCAAACAAAGACTACATTATTCTAACCCATCTCTGATTCATCTCTTCTCAACCTCCTCCTCCTCCCCTCAAGACGGGAACGAATCTGGCGAACAGCCTTCTCAATCACCGTCGGATTTCAAAATCTCTTCCTACTTCAGTGGTATCAAGAGTAGCCTGAAACAGCAGTCCCAGCCTCAATCTCAGGACGGGAGGAGACAAATCGACAGATTCGATCCCAAACCTCCGTCCGGCGGCGATTTTCAGGATATCAGGAGGAACCTCAACGAGTTCCGACGCAGCTCCACCTGCGAGGGATTTTCAGGATCTTTACAAGCAGAACCTGCTATCAAATCCCCCCGGAGATTTGGGGACTCATAAGGTCGAAGTTTCGCCTTTTCGAAACCTAAAGCAAAACTTGAGGCAGATGAGACCACATGAAGCTAACACTGAGACTACGAGATGGTCAAACCTATCAAGCCTTCAGAGCATTATGAAGACAAAAGACAGTAACAATGTCCGTTCAAACGTGTTTGGTGGAGCAGAGGGATTGCCCATTTCCGTGTTTGGTGAGGAACTAGAAGAAAGGAACAAGACGGGAGATGATCCAGAGGAGATGAAATCGGAGTTTATCAAGAGATACGAACCTAAAGAACTTGGGGAGATACTAAGACAGTATAGACCACAAGGAATGAAAGAAGAAGGTTGGTTCTCGTTGCATGAGCTGAACCAGAGGCTTGTTAAGCTGAGAGAGGTTGAAGAGGAAACAGCACAGGGAACGAGGAGGAAGGGGTTTCCCTTTGATGAACTGAGGTCTGATATTCAAAAAGCCAGAAAATCATCACAAGTATGTACGTTCACAAACTCTCTCTCACCACTCTTACTTCTCTTGTGTGCAGTGTTTAGATATTGAATGCTTTGGTTAAAATCTCAAACAGTCTTGTATGATCGTATTGCTTTAAGATAATAGAATTGGAGAATTCTCTAGGATTAGGATATACCTACTGGTGAACTACTGTGCGGCAGCAGAAATGTTAAAAAAAATTATTCGATATCGTTCCATCTCTTACTTGTTAGCTACTAATATAAGGCTGCAAAGTACTGATTTGTATGCTCCGGGCTTGAGGTCGTTGCTGAGTTTTTGGTTTTAATTTGAATGTTGATTTGCTTGCAGTTCAGAACTTGGATTTTTTCAGCGTTTTAAATGGTACCCCAAAGTATTTGTTGGAGCCTCCGAAAGATGAGCTTGTTCAAACTGTAAGTCTTTTTCTTTCTTAGTTCTTTGAATCTTTAAGCTTTTCTTTAAGAATGTTATGACATTGACTATGTAATGCATTTGTAAAATCAATCCCAGTATTTCCACCCGGATAATATGTCATCTGCGGAAAAGATGAAAATCGAGCTTGCAAAGGTCAGAGAAGAGTTCAAGATGTCGGAATCAGATTGTGGTTCTGCACGTGTTCAAGGTAAATTTAAATCCTGCATAAGGACTTCTGTTTAGATCAATGTTTGTATGTGCTTATCAAATATGGTTGAAAATTATACAAGGCTAATCTAATCGGTTGATCAGATGTAATTTCTTTTGTTACATTATTGTTTAGTGATCTCTATGATCTTTCCTTGTAGTGGCACAACTGACTACTAAGATCAAGCATCTATCTTCTGTTCTACATAAAAAGGTAAACTCTCAGTCCTTTCTTCTCTCTTCTGAAGCTAGTAGTGGCAGTTTTTCTACTGTAACATAATTGTGTATCCTATGTAACACCTAATCTAGGACAAGCATTCGAGAAAGGGACTTATAGCAATGGTGCATAGACGGAAGAAACTGCTCAAGTATATGAGGCGAACAGACTGGGACTCATACTGCCTTTCACTCTCAAAACTCGGTCTACGTGACAACCCTGATTACAAGTTTTAAACTTCTTGATGCAAGTGTGACATAATGTATCGTGACCCAGTAAACACTCTTTTTGTTCTCTTTCATTTTGGCAAAAGAGATAATGTTGTCTCTCGCATCCATCATTTTGGCGAGGGAAGTTGTTCTACTGTATTTATGCAGGTTGTTTAGGAAGTTTGATAATAAAGTTAAATTTTGGCAACATTGTGGCAAGTATTTTTACTTATAATTTCTGAACTTTTTGTTATAATTGATTTGCAATGTTGTGATGTTTACTTCCATCATCTAAAGAGAAACATACGAATAATGGCTGAACATTTGAAGAAAAATCAACTTCTTAAACATGGAAAGTGAGATTATATATATATGTTCATTTGACGATTTTAGAGATTCTTGTATTTGCAGAGTTTTGCTATGGAGAATCTTGGCAGATCACACATCCATGGCGTAGCAAGAATTTCTGGAGTTCTTTAGTTGGAGAAAACCAAGACGGCAGCACAATTTTCCGAAGAGATGGATTAGCACAAACCATCCAAGTGAAAATTCCATCTTCGACTTCACAGTTGTTAAGGTTTATCTCTCTTAAACGTGTGCAACTCTGCACAATTTCCTTGACTCCTCTTGATCTCACATTTAAGCATCCTTTCAGATCAAGACGCAACAACCCTGGACATGTTTTGCTGATCAAACACAGGGCTTGGTCGTCGATCCAAGTTCCACATGCTCGTAAAGACTGCAGTTTTGGAAGATCAAATTCTAGTGCATCAAGACTCCTTATGCCAGTGCATCCGCTTATATCCAAAGATTTCAGCTCGCCACAATTCCTGAAAACTTCAAGAATACCATCTCCTGTGATGGAAGGACAATGATCCACTTCAAGAGTTTCAACAAAAGGGCAATGGCGTGATACCTTCACGAGACACTCATCTCTCAAGTTGTGGTTTCCAGATATGTACAAAGACTTGATCCTTGACTTGATATCATCAAGTTCCTTGGAATCTTCTTCCACTCCAAAATTCGCCCCTTCCATTCTGACGCACTGGAGGGAAACACATCTCTCAATGATGTTGAAGAATGACATACCAGTTAACTTGGCACAGAAACTGAAGTTCACAAAGGTTAACCTCCCCAGGAACACCACCAATTTCATGACCATCTCATCAGAGAGGAAGCTTGATCCTTCGAGATTCAAGTGAACTAAAGTCTGGTACCTGGTGAGCAAATACAAGACCCCATCAAAAGTGAAACACTGACAATTGGAGAGAACAAGCTTCTTTAAAGGAAGCTTGGCGTCAGCAATCAAACGAAGCATCTCATCAGATAGAAACGAATCCGAGAGATCAAGCTCAGACAAACAACCAGAGAACAAGAATGCGTCCTTGGAGAAAGACTCCCTCGGCCTCCATCCTATTCCGTTGATCGCCACAGACTCCAGGTTACGAGAATTACGCAGAACGAACTCGATGCAACGGGACGAAACGAAATCACAGTCACGGAAGATGATCTCTCTCAGGAGGAGACAGTTCTGGGAGAGAGAGACCAAAGACTTATCCGTGATGAGATTGTTACCAGAGACGTTGATCTTCGTCAGGTTCTTGAGATTCTTAGAGAGACTGATGATGGCAGAATCAAAGACGGGGCTTGGAAGAGAGTCAGGGTAGCTTATGTCCAGCTTCTGAAGAGACGGGAAACACACTCCGATCGAGTTCAGATCGGTTTCTCGGAGCTCCCAAACTCCGGAGCAGCTGAACTCCTTCATCTTCTTCATCTCGGATTTCGCCAAATTCGGAAAGTAAGGCATTCCCGAAATATCGAGCGATTCCAAATCTAAGCAGGAAAGGGAAAGTTTCATAAGGATCGAGTCGATATCTCCGTGAAAGTCATGGAATTTTACTCGCTTGAGGTTGTGGAAGCGGAGGAGATGGCGATGGAGAAAGGGGAGAGTGCGATCTGTGATGGTGAAAGTGGAGCGAACGTTGTTGGTGATGGAGAGGAATGAGGTGGATACGAGTGAGAGAGACTCGAGGAATCGATAGTCATCTTCGTCGATGAATCTGAAGATCAGCTCCCAACATTCTTCAGGTAGATCCATTTTCCTCTCTCAACTCACTCTGCAGCTCTCCTGATTTTTTTTTTGATCGGAGAAAGAAGATAAAAGCAAAGATGAATGAGTAGGAAAGTTTCTCTTAGCTAAAATGAGGATCACTAGGTCCCACTTTCCCTTTTCGAAATTACGAATTTAAAAAAAATTCATTATGGCCCAATAAAATATAGTTCAGTTTGAAGGCCCACTAGTAGTCCATTTGTTTAGTGACTACTACTACTAGGTCCTACTTACTAGTGTCGGTAATGAAAGTGTTGACATAAGAAAGTTCACATGAATAATGATGCTCTCAGACAAGTCAGACGTTTTTGGAATCACCTCTTCCAAGTTCCAACTACGACTTGTCCTTTTTGATCCCAATTTGATAGAGATTACATCATCCATTTACTAATATTCTAATTCTTTTAGTAGCTTTACGTATGAAAGATGTCACATTAATAATGGTTTTGTTTAAATTATCAGACGGCATCATAGTTACCTTGGGATGTTAAACTTTTTTTTGTAATCTGTACATGAAAATCAAAACTGATAAAAAGATTGTGATGAAAACTCTGCGCTTGTTAGATATTCTCGCATCAGAGTCCACATTTCCACGTCTTTCTTAGTCACCCCAACGTCCGGGTTTGTCTCTCTCTCTCTCTCCCTCTCTCTCCTCAAGCTTACGGCACTACTCTCCCTTTTCTCATAACTGCCACATGAAAGACCAAACCAGCAATACATTGTCCTCTCTGTTTCCCAAAGCCAACAACACTGTCCTCCTCTCCTCTCTTGTCTCCATCTCAACACAACACCTCGATAAAAAGAACTCAAAAGGCAACAACGAGTAGAATAAGGAAGTTTCCATTCTCTCTCGCTTGTCCTGAAACACACCAAAGAAACAAAAAGAATGTGTATCCTTGGTCATTTGCTCTTCTTACCACCCATTTGGGTTTTCGGTTTCTCCTTCTTCTCCATTTCATCTACTTCCCAAGAAATCCCTATTTCCCCAGGTAACTTAAGTAGTTTACTCCCTTTTTGAGTGATCAAGTCTTACTACTACTTCTTCAAGTTTCTCAAACAGGAAGCCAACTTTAGTTGGAATTTCATACTATTTCCGCAAGAACAATGAAAATACTACTTTCCGATAATCTAGAGCAAATATTGGTGATTTTCTCTAGTGACTGAAGACACTGATTATTTAAAAAAAAGAGTTATTAACTTTTTCAGTTTATATATATCATTCTCAGGGCCTCCCATTGTTAATAAAGTGGTGCTTCGTCAGGACTTGAACAAGAAGATTCTTATTGCTCTTGTTGTCTCCTCAACACTCCTCTGTCTCACTCTACTACTGCTTCTCTACCTCTTCCTATGGAGGTACAGATATATCAAGAACAGCTTCACCGGGATCAACCCAAATCATCCTACTGGTATAATTCAAGTTTAACTCTTATTATTATCTTTACATGTAATTTTCTTGCGCTTATTTTTTGTCCTTATCTGAAGATTCCGTGAAGAGTGGTGTGTCCACCAAACCGATTGTACACAAGATTGATTCTGTTGTGAAGAAAGGAAGTATCCCTCTCTATGAATATCAACTCCTGGAAACTGCAACAAACAAGTTTAGCGAGAGTCATGTGTTGAGCCGTGGTGGTCGTGGATGCCTCCTATACAGAGCTTGTCTTGATGAAAAGTCCTCTGTCACTGTGAAAAAACTTGATGTTGATTGTGGGGATACAGAAGACATTATTGAAAAACAGTTTGAGGTTTTTGATCGTCTAGAAACACAATACAATGCTCCTTCCACATCTCATTCGATAAACCATAATTCTTTTGTTGAACTCTATAATGCAGAATGAGGTAGATTGGTTGGCTAAGATCAAACATCAGAATATAATCTCCATGTTGGGGTTTTGCGTCTATCGCCAAACGAGATGTATTGTGTATGAAACGATGCAGAATGGATCTCTGGAGAGTCAGTTGCATGGTAAGGGTGATGTAACAGATGTTTCATGTTAAGGCTGTTTTTGTTCAATCTTATGACATCTGATTTTGTAACTAATTTTGTAAACATACATTGAAGGGCCTAGTCAAGGTTCAGGTTTAACCTGGCAGCTTAGGATGAAAATCGCGGTTGATATAGCATGGTACTATATAGTCCCATTCATTGATATCTATATAACTTTCAAATGTTTAGCAGTTTCCTTTGATCTCCTCCAAGCACATTCTATCTGCTTACAAAGTTCTTGTTTTCTTCTTTTTTTACTCAATAAAGAGGATTAGAGTATCTTCACGAGCACTGCCATCCTCCACTAGTTCACAGAGATTTGAAATCGTCTAACATCCTTCTTGACTCCCATTACAATGCAAAGGTAAAAATAAGAGAGAAGATTTGATATAATAATGAAAAATATTTATTCTTAGAGAGAGTTATGAGTTTGTAAGAAAGTGTTGCTTCTCTGTTCAGATATCAGATTTTGGGTATGCCACAGTGTTAATGACTCAGAGCAAGAATCTGAAGCTTACTGGAACGTTAGGAAACAGAGCTTCCCATTATCTTCTCGATGGTTAATAAGTTTAAGCAGAATGATTCTCACATTATAAAGCACTTCAAGTTTTTTATTTTCAGGTTTGGATCTTTTAAGGTTTTTTCGTTTATGTATTTTTACAGGGAAAGTAACAGAGAAGAATGATGTATACTCTTTTGGGGTGATTCTCCTAGAACTTCTCCTGGGAAAGAAACCATCAGCTGAACCAGAATCCATTGTCACTTGGGTACCAAAGCTAAGTGACAGAGCTAATCTTCCAAACATATTGGATCCTGTAATCAAAGGAAGCATGGATTTGAAGCATCTTTATCAGGTCGCAGCGGTTGCAGTGTTGTGTGTGCAGCCAGAGCCGAGTTACAGACCACTTATAACCGATGTGTTACACTCACTCATCCCTCTTTTACCACTAGAACTCGGCGGATCATTGCGGATTTTGTAAAAAACAGTCTTTGCTTTTTGTTTGTTTGTTTCCTGTTGTATGTTTTCACTTTTCAATGTGTAAGATGTGAAAATCCACTTTTTATTCGGTAGTTCCCACAAGAAATCTGAATACTATTTAAAATAAAAATAAAAACATTTTATGACCGAACACAAGGAGACAAAACTGTAAGAGAATGAATTAACCTTTTTTCACGATTCCCAAAACGAGAAACTTTAAGACGAATTGAGTAGAAGAAGGTGAGAGATTGAGGATCGATAACCAAAAACCCATCATCATCAAGAAGAAGAAGATGTAATATCATTAGCCTCAAAGACATTCATCCTCCTCATCAATCCCTAGAACACATTCCTCCTCTCTGGTAATTATTCTTTCTTCCTTCAATCCATTTCCAAAGTCTTTTTATGTTCTCTTCTTTCCCACTCACATTCGAGAGTTAAAAATTGATTCCTTCTTAGTGTTCTACTACATTCGTTCTGTGATTTTCCTCATTTTTCTGTTAAATTTTGTATCATTTTTTTTTTGTTTTTGGGTCAGAAGATAATAAGAGCAGTTAGTGTGGCAAAGCAGAGATGAGTGAGTTGAAGCCTCCAAAGGTGTTGAATTCTTTCTCAAACATTCAGATTGATCCGAACAGCACACAAGCGAATCAGCCTCCTCTTCCTAAACCCCAAGAAGAAAAAGAAGACCCCAAATCATCATTTTCTAAAGGTTCCACCTTTTCTTCCAGAGAGTTGGATTTACGTTTTTTTGACTCTTCTGATACTCTGATATTTGTTGGTCCAGATGAATCTAAGAAAGGGTCTGCAAAGTTGGTATTACACGGAATGTGTCTTTCCAAGCGGTGGAAACCTCCCGTCTATGATTGCTGCAATGTTCATGGACCTTCTAATATGAGACTGTAAGTGACACATAACCTACCTGCATTTTGCTCCTATTTCGAAATCACAACCACTTGGTATTTGTTTTCGTTTTTTGGGTTCAGGTTTACATACAAAGTTGTGGTTGAGATTAGAGATTCTTCAGGAACAACAACTCTTTTGGAATGTTTTGGTGATCCCAAACGCAAGAAGAAAGCTGCGTCTGAGCATGCAGCTGAAGGAGCACTCTGGTATCTTGACCATGTTAAGGGGAAATCAGACAAAGCTGCATCAGTAAATCAGTTGAAGTAATTGGAAATTGTTTAGCATAGTTTTTCATACTGAGTGTTGTACATTTGTTTATCTGAGTTTTATGTTTGTTCTCAAAACCTTATCAGAATTTACTTTAGAACCTGCTTTGATGGTTATAAGTTTCTCTAGCTCTTGTGCTATTTAATAAATTTATTAGCAAGTATAAATCTCCTCTTTTTTAATTAGTGAAGGCTAAGAACTGCAGATTCAATACAAACACACTAGATTATATAAGATTTATTGCTACTCTTATTCTCATTCTTATAGAAGACTCTGATTTTTGGTTTGCTGCAGTTTCGTTTTGGCAGGGGTAAAGATCAGAAGAAACTCAATGTTGGAACAGGAATTCTAAGTAAATGTAATATCTTATTAGCTTTGTAAGGGCAACAAAAAAAAACATTATCCCAGGCTCTACCACTTGGTGCATATCTGATGATGAACTTGAAGATATAGATTTAGGAATTGCAGTCTTGATATCCTTTGAAAGCGATAGACCCAGTCGAGCTGAGAGTCTTAACCCCCTGAGAATTCTAGCTGATAGACATAATGGTTAGACACAAAAGTACAAGGCCTTGAGAAGAATGAATTAAGGCACATACCACAATCTTCACTGAAAGACAAATGCGCAGGGACGAGTGTACGTAGCTGCATTCAGATTTCAGCGTTAGAAAACAATGGTTAAAATGATTTACAGAAAATAGGAGTAAGCAATAAAAAAGCAGTTTAAGTAGTCATCTTTAGATCCTTCAAGTCTTCCATTCCATTTCTTTGTGTCTAAAATACATTGCATGTTCTAGGTTATCCCAAAGTTTCCTTTTTTGTAAGTATACCACAAGAACATCACATGACCCAGAAAAAACACAAAAGCCAAAAGAAAAATATGACAAATCAGCTACAACTGTTTCTTCTTCTTCTTCTTCTCCAAGTATGAATGGCTTCTCTGGAAGTTCAATATAGCCCACACCAGATGCCTCAGTCCAATCTCAGGCCACAGAGCATCCGGAGAGAAGAGCTGGCAGTGACCAGTCTGCCACAAAAGAAAGTTGCTCAGCCTCGTCTCTCCTGAACTCCGGATCAGTATATCAGGTTCCGGAGCCACGCTCATCTGCATATTCTCCTCAATATCCACCAACCGAACCCTCTCCCTCTCCCTCTCCACATCCTTATCCGCACAAGATCTCTTGACAGCTTGTAGGATCTCATCGGTGGAGTTGTAAGCAACGCAGACGAGAAGCACCACTCTACTGTTCTCAGCCGTGGCCTTCATGACTTCTTCAGCAGCAGCTCTCACTTGTTTGTTGAGAAGCCCCAAGTTACCGATGAAATAAACACGTATGCCGTATTGGTGCACGATGCTCTCTTTATCGAGCAAGGACTTGATCTTCACTAGCATCAGATCCATGAGAGACTGAACCTCCTCGGGCTTTCTCCTGAAGTTATCTATGCTGAAGGCGTATATGGTCACGTACTTGACGCCCAGCTCGTAGCAGTACTGTAGCATAGTCATAAGGGCGGAGAAGCCGGCTTTGTGGCCGGACCCGTCTTCTAGACCGCGCTTCTTAGCGAACCTACGGTTGCCATCCATGATAAAAGCGAGGTGGATGGGTAAAGGACCCATAGATAGGACTCTGAACAAGCATCTTCTTGAAAGCATGTGTATCTGCTCGAGGAGTTGGCTGACTCCACCGCCCCCCATAGTATCCTCTGCAGCAGAAATAAGATTAGTACACAAACCTTAACAGTATTTGACATGTAATGTCTTTAAAAAAACCTCAACTTGGGACATAATGGAGTAAATGTTTTAGCCTTGAACACAGAATACACAACTAAGATTCTCTCACTCACTATAGATAAAAAAAAAAAAGATCAGAAGATTCAATAAAGATTCAGATGATACGAAGCAAAGGGTACAATACTAACGAAAATCAAAAATCGGAAATCAAATCGCAAAATTGGTAAAGCAGGGTGTTACCTAGGAGCTCGATCCTGGCTGAGAATTATCAAGCGAAGCAGCACCCTCTCAACAGATGAAATCTCTTTCTTAGCGAATAGTTGACGGCAAAATCAGCCGTCAGACCAAAATTCTCAGTAGTTGACTCCTGTGAAAGAGAGGAAGAGGAGGAGAGAGGAGTACTTTTACTTAGGGGAAGGAAGCAAAATAAGGAAAATAACCAGAACCGGCGGTTATGAAGGATAAAACCCTATTAAATTCCGGTTCAGATTTTTTTAACATTCAGAACCTAAAAGAAAGGGTCAGCAAAATTGTTCGGGTGTTACACTGAAATGTCTACTTCCAAGCGAACCACAACTTACTTGCTGGTTACACTTTGCTCCTATTTCGAAATCACAACCTTGTTTGCCTTGACACTTGGTTTGTTTTTTTCTGGTTCAGATTTACATACAAAGTTGTGGTTGAGAATCTTAGAGATTCTTCAGGAACAACAACCAACTGTTTTGGAATGTTTTGGTGATCCCAAGGAGCGCTCTGGTATCTTTGACCATGTACAAAGGGAAAACACACAAAGCTGCATCAGTAAGTAACAGCAGAGTTTAAGCTGCATGAGTTAGTACATGCTTTGATGATTCAAAGTATTACTATCTACCCAGGGTTGTACATTTGTCACCAAAGGTTCTTTGTTTCTTTCTTTCTTTTTCCTCCAACCTTATCAGAATTTACTTAGTACATGCTTTGATGATTCAAAGTTTTGTTTAACTCTTTCTGATAAATTTTTGTTAGGAAATAGAAATCTCCTCTTGGTTAGTTTAGTAGTGAAGGCTAAGAATTGCAGATTCAACACAGACAGACACACTAGATTGATTCGTACTCTTCTTTCTCATTTGCAGTGAAGAACAATAGATTCATCTTATTTTTGCTTTGATGCATTTTCCTCTTGGCAAGGGTTAAGAGTACAGAAGAAAACTCACCAAGAATTCTAAGTAAATGTAATATCTTATTAGCTTTGTAGCTTTATAAGGGCAAAAAACAAGAATATCTCAAAACAAATAAAGCAGCCAACAGCCACTGCTGATAAAAAGAAATTAACCTTTTTTTTTTCTTTTCTTTTTGCAGTATTTTTCTTATGATGATGGTGGTGGTGGTGGTTTATTATTCAATACTCTTGTGGTTTTAGTTCTAAACTAAACTGAGAAACACACTTTGTTTCTGAAAATCAATCAATCACAGGGTGTAGTGTTGCTGGATAGCCTCTATGTCAAGTCCCTTCTGCTTCACCACTGATTCCACGTGACCTTTCAAGGTATGATGCTCTCTTAGCCTGCAAATATTAGATGAGAGAAGAAACAATGTCAAGGCCATATTCTCAGGAATGTTATGGATTATTCAGTTGCGTTACCTTGCGACTTCAGCTCGTCTCTTGGCCTGATCTGCTATCTCTGAAAGTTCTCTGTAAGTGCTCTTGTCGTTGAACATCTCTGAGGGTTGAGCAGGTTGCAATCCGTGAAGGGTACGTTGTGCTTGTGCCCATTGTGCTTCCCTCTCTCCTTTTCCATAGTCTTTCTTTGACGTGAAAGCCGTCTGAACACAAAAAAAAGTAACAAAGTTTAGAACCAGTACTATTGCAACAGAGGAGGACTAGTGTTCTTGTTCTTTACCTTGTTCTCAATGACATTATCCCAGGCTCTACCACTTAGTGCATATCTGATGATGAACTTTAGGATATCCAATGGTACGTAAGTAACTATACTGTAGAGCCAAATAACTCCTGCCCATCCCCACCCAGTACCTCTGATTCTTGCAAAATCCCAGTTTGCGTACACCGCAATGAGAGTAGCAATCTTTATGTCAAAAGAGAAACAGAGAACACTGTCAGTACATTTTGAGTCTTTGTATCTAATAAAGACCAAAAGCATTTTAACTCACCAGCTGAGCTAAGAAAAAGGCAGCGATCAACCAGAAGCCAGGACGCTCAGCATATGACCAGCTACGTGACCTTGTAACAAAGATAAGCGCCTGGCTAATGATACTAACTTGGAGGTATATAGCTGCTGTTAGCTCGTGAGGATTGCCACTGATAGATCTCACCCCAAACCTTGCCTGCACCAGCAACAAAACTCATGATCAGAGAGACACTTACTTGAAAATCCTCATAGTAAGGTAAGAGTTCTCTTACCGAGAAGAAGTCAGTGCTCTCTGCAGCCCAGAAGAAAACAACAGTCATCACTGCAAGGTAAGTCCCAAGAACAACACCAGTAGCAAATATCTCTTTAAGTTTCCATGAATCAGGAAGTGGAGAAGGCTTTACTCTATCCTTTGATATTGTCATGATAGTACCATCATTCAGGATCGCTATTACCAACACCATGAATGGTGAGAAGTCGAACTTCCATATGAGTGCAAGCAGCATAAACCCCATCACTACACGGATTGTGATGGAAACTGCATAGATTGTGTAGTTCTTCATTCTCTGGAAAATGGCTCTGCTCGTTAAGACAGCACTAACTATGACACTGAGACCTGGCTCAGTAAGTACAATGTCAGATGCACTTCTCGCTGCATCAGTGGCGTCAGCAACAGCTATTCCGATGTCAGCTCTCTTGAGAGCCGGGGCATCGTTCACTCCATCACCAGTCATGCCACAAATGTGCTTCATCTCCTGGAGCCTCTTCACAATCTCATACTTGTGTTCTAATCAGACAAATGAAACAGATTCATTACAATGATCCATTAAGAGATAATGGGATGGATCCTACATTAAGTTTGATTGTTTTTACCAGGGAAGACACCGGCAAATCCATCAGCCATCTCAATGAGTTCATCAACAGGAATGCTAGAAATAGATTCATCCTTGTCCTGTCCAAGTAGAGCAGAAGAAGGATACATGTTGGTGCCCATACCGAGCCTACGACCAGTTTCCTTACCAATGGCGAGCTGGTCACCAGTGATCATCTTGACATTGACACCGAGGTCAAGAGCTCGCCTGATTGTCTCTGCACTGTCATGTCTTGGAGGATCAAAGAGAGGTAAGAGACCAAGAAACTGCCATGGCTCGCCAGGGCTGTTCTTGTCTTTCTCAGAGACAGTCTAATAAATAGCCAAAAGAATAAAAGAGCATTTTAACAAAAGAAAGGCATAGTCTTCAAACATTTGGGATTGGCACTAAAAAGCTTTTTTTACCTGTCTGCCAACAGCAAGAGAACGAAGTCCTCTGTCAGCAAACTTGTCAATGATGTCATGAGCTCTCTTCTTTGTATCCTCTCTAAGGTTACATAGCTCAATGATCTACAAGTTACAGAGACCAATCAGTGGGAAAGAACTTCAAAAACTCTCTAGAATATGCGTTTTCTTACTTGTTCTGGTGCGCCTTTGCTGACACGATGCCAGTTTCCACTAGAATCAATGTAAGTGATAGCAGTACGCTTGTCCACGGGGTTAAAAGGAAAGAAATGGACTTCAGTGATGCCTTGTCTTGCTTCACTGGGATCTCCAAGCATTCCTACAATGCAAGCATCAATAGCATCCTGGTTCTCAACTCTAGAGGCTCTTGCTGCATTCACCATAAGCTGCTCTTTGTCCAAATCTTTAACAAAAACCTCAACCATGCTCTTGTCAACGGTAAGCTTGTTGAGTGTAAGAGTTCCAGTCTTGTCACTGCACAAAACATCCATCCCAGCCATCTCTTCAATCGCTGTCATCCTCTTTGTGATAGCTCCTTGCTGTGAGAGACGGTGTGATCCAATGGCCATGGTGACAGACAAAACAGTTGGCATTGCAATAGGGATTCCTCCGATGAGTAGCACCAGAAGATTGTCGATTCCATCTCTATAAGCACGGTGCTGGATAGGATACATGACAACGATCTCAATGATCATACCTATGGCGATAGAGCAGATGCAGAAGTTACCAATAGCAGTCAACACTTTCTGGAAATGGCCTTCTTGGTTTGTGCTGTCTACAAGATGAGCTGCTTTGCCGAAGAAAGTGTGAACACCAGTGGCGATCACAACAGCTTCTAACTCTCCTTGTTTGCAGGTGGAGCCAGAGTAAACTTCTTGGCCAGGGTTCTTGGTGACTGGCAAAGACTCACCAGTGAGAGCAGATTGATCAATCTTGAGAGGATCACCTTCCAAGAGACGACCATCTGCTGGAACAATGTCACCCAATTTGATGCTGATAATGTCTCCGGGGACCAATATAGCTGCCTCTTGCTCGCTCCACTTGCCATCTCTCAGAAGCTTTTTAAAAGTGATTGATATGCATTAGTTTAATCATCCATTTGTTTGAGCAATGTTTTGGTAAAAAACTTACTTTGGTTTTGGGAGCTAGACCGGCCATTAAAGCGGCGGCTGCGTTACCAGCGTTGTTTTCTTCAATGAAACTAATGGTAGAGTTAATGATAAGAAGAACCGTGATACCCACGAAATCTTGCCAATCCGGTGGCCTTCCCTGCAGGTTTTACAAAACGTGTTAAAAGACAGAAAGATGATGGATTCACCAGCTTAAGTTAAGGTGAGATTATTACTCCTCCGTTGGCCAAGGCGATAGCCATGATAGCAGCCAACTCCATGACCCATGAGAGAGGGTTCCACATAAACCCTAAGAACTTGAGAATCTTGCTTTCCTGTGAGATTGAAACATGTTAGGCTTTCTTGGGAGTGAAGAAACAGAAAAACACAAAATGAAAAAGGATTTGTTCAAAAGGAAGGTGTATTGCCTTTTTCTCTTCGAGCTTGTTAGGACCGAAGATCTCGAGACGAGTGTGGCCTTCGTCGCTGGTAAGTCCTTCCCTTGTACATCTGAGCTGCGTAAACACCTCCTCTATCGGTATTTTCTCCTGTTACAAAGTTAAGCGTTTCAAGTATGAAAAGACTGGAAGTGGAAATCTCGTAAGCTAAAGACATGGAGAAGGAAGGGAGATACTAACGAGATCGATGCCTTCGTTCTTGATATCGTCCCAGCTTGAATCTTTCCCCGCTGCCATCTTGCTTATTTTTTCTCAGAAACAGGGGTTGTGTTTTCTCGTGTAAACTTTTGTTTTTCAACTCTTTCTTTCTTAGACAGATGTTTTCAAAGTTTCTTTCTCTTGCAGTTTTTTGTGTGAATGTTTTCAAACTGATAAATTCTCTCTCAATCTTTATCTTTTTTCTGTTGTTATTTGTAACGAAACAGAAGAAACAAAAGGGGAGA